TGTGCACAGTAATCATCATTATCTTGATATAAAATTTAAATGGCTTAGGAGAAAACATCGATTATCCTATCATTTACATCCATCTGGTCTTTATCACGATTGTTATTGGTTAAGACTTTTATTTGAATTATTTTTAATTAAGAGAACCAGTGCCTAAAAATCTAATTCAGACTGAGTTTGAAATTGAATATTCAACATATTGCCTGTTTAGAATCTTCAAAATAGATTTTAATATTATTACTTTCATTAAATTCCTTTGTTTTGTTAGTTTTTTAAACCAAATCTTATTAAATCATCTTTAGTTAAGAACCAATTTTAGTTCTCTATTTTAATGCACTAACATTAATGAATGGCGTGTAGAGCTTGGTGACTCCGGTGAATGTGTTGTACAAATTTAGAGTTGTTTGATGTTAAAAATTGTCAACAGTATAAACTGCCTGAGGGACTGAATTACTATAATCAACTCCTTTCATTTTAAATAATGACTAGAGTGGGTATAATCTGATGTAAGAAACCTAGGTTTAACTAAGGTTTGAAATAATTGGTTTAGGTTCATTTCTTTAAGGTCTGCATAAAGTACTGAAAGGTAATTTTCGGCTATCAATCATCTATAAATCTCCCAAGAAGAGTGATCCGTAACCGAGAGACCTTGAACTCTATAAGATTAAAGTTACGTTCACCTATTCTTCAAAATGGTTCAATTTCCTGTAAATGACAATTGGTTAACAGGTTCCTGGTTCTGGGGAAGGAAAATCCTTCCAAAATCCATTCCTCTGTAAAGGGAATCCTCCATGGATGTTAGGTATAACGGTTGGTTTATGCCAAATCAGTTAAGAAACTAGTTTCACAAATTTGGTTGTAAAGATTTAATTAACAAAAGCTGAATTATACTTAAAATGGATTTAAGATAAAGCAATTGGAAAGATCCCTGCTCTTTATAAATAGAGTTTAACTTCTAAATTAACTTCTAGAATATTAAATCATTTAAAGAATTACAGGTCATATCTTGATAAACCAAAGAGAATTGGTCTTCACTTAAGCTTGTTTCAACAATCCTTAATAAAGATCTTGGAAATTTTAAAAAATTCTAGCATCTCTTACTGGCCAATTATACTTAGTGTTAAATCCTTTCTCGAGTTAAAGTTTTAACCTACTTGTATTAATCCTATACTGAAATATTAACTTTACTTTATGTTGCGAATGTTAGATAAAGAAAGTGATCCGTTCAAAATTGCTTAATTGGAAAATCCACGTTCTCAGTTAAATAACAAAAATATGTGTTCCATAAAGGAAATACTAATATAAACTTGTTCTTTATTAACTTTAGGAGATTCCCAATCAATCCTATACTTTACGAAAATCCTGCAAATATTAATATTTCTATTAATTATTTCTTTATTTCTGTGGAATCAGAACCATCCTGACTTAACATTACAAGACGACAGACAATAAAGGATCCATTGTATAAAATATAAAGAAATCTAAAAAGCTAAACCGATTATGCCCCTCCCGTAATACCCTTCACGCCCAAAAGATCCAACAAGGTCTACAACGGTCTTACAGTAATAGGACAAGTCATAATAGATATATATATATAAAATATAATATATATATAATAAGATATGAACTGTCCATAATTACCTGTATCGAAAGGCCCATTGGATCCTGTCTACTGTACGAGGCTTGCGGGTATTGCATGATCCATATATGAGGTGCGACTCGTCCCAGCCACATAATTTTATATCCAGTACCCAAGTCCGAGACTTAGTTAAAGAAATAAAGGAGTTCAAGCACCTATTCCAATCAATGTAATTTTATAATTAAGTAAAAACATTACACTTTTACATAGTCCGCTTTTCCCGCTAAAAACGAAGTTTCTCTCATCTAACTCATAAACGGAAGTTGAGATAACATCCTCGTAGTAATAAAAAAATGTAAACACTCTGCCATTAATATTTTGAATTTTAGTGGCTCAACTTTTGCTTATGGATCCACGAAAAAATTCAAATTTTATTTAAAAATCTACTTCTATATAAAGATTACTTAAACGAAATAAGTATCTTATCGATAGACATTCATAAAAGTAGGCTAGTACAGGTTCCTGGGATCGAAACCGAAACGAAAAGAATTATTTTTAAAGAACCGAAAACAGAACAGACTCAAAAAAATGTATGTCTTCGATTTTGGTTCCTGGTTCTACAAAACCTAAACCGAATCGAACTGAAAACCGCACCGGACGACCAACTGGAATCGAACTGAAACCTATTAATAAATATATAATTTTGATTTTTTGGATATATTATTGATAACATAAAACTAGAAATTTTTTATTTATATTAATGAGAATTAATTACTATTAACTAATAAAGATTAAAATGAGTAAAACTCAGGAATTGATTGAAGTTACACTCCAAGAGTTATTAATGAACAATGAATTTCATATTTATGAAAGGAAACTTAAATTTAACTTAAGTCCAAATTTAAAACATGCATATTTTTCCCTAATAAAGCCTTGTTTAATTATAACGTACAAAATTACTAACCAATAAAACTAAGTGTTATTTTATGAAAAAAAATATCGTGATAAGACTAAATGAAAATATAAAATGATCGTTTTAATAGAAAAAATAACAAATAAGTATAAATTTTTGAACAATTCCATAGATCAACACTTCTTTTTTTTTTTTTATAAGCACATATATTATAAAGAAATTAGAAAAAATTTCACAAAAAAAATGAAAATTAGAGTAACAAAGGTTTTTTTTTTAGGCAAAAATTAGAAACAAATTGATGTGAAATCGGGGTATGGGTATACACCATTAGAATAACATGATAAAAAAAAATTGTATATAATACTAGTTGTGCAAATTTTTTTGTAAGTAACGCATATAAATTTCCGTGAATTGTTCATTCATTTTATTTTTTTGATTATTTTAAGATTTCTAATTTGACATGAGTCAATTTCACATGATAGATTTTATATTTATACGTCATTGGATCATTTACATACAAAACAAAGACTGACCAACCTTATGATTATATTGTGTGTGATCCTTATCTTCTACATTGTATTATATTATTTAATTGTGCGGGTTTTGAGCGCCTATTCTTTACCCCATGCATATTGTGGCGGTGCTGAATCTCTATAAATACGTGGATGGTAATGTTTTAGCTTTCAATCACATAAATGCCTCATTTTAATCAAATGGAGTATTCAACCTAGAAACACTAGAAATCATGGAAAGGCGATGAAAGTATTGCTTAGTGTTGTGCCAATTTAGTATGCAGTCGGAAAAATACAATTCCCAAATGATCATTTCAATGTTATTTTCTGTTGGATAAGAAGGAAATAGTTAAGTGGATTCTAAAAGAGAATTGTTATTAATTGATAAAGACTTACTATCCTTATAAGTAAATTACTCATATATATGTAGATGTATTTATACAATTAAATATATCCTTTACTTAAGAATAAGATTTCCTTTAAGAATCATGATATGTTGGTTATGTGTTAATATTTTGCTCGTAGATAACTAAAATTGTTATATAATTTTCATCTAATCTTTAATTCCTAATATAGGGCTTTTCATAAATAGATGTAGAATTACATTTTCGACTCAACTTGTAATGTAAATTGTGTAGTATATAATCAATAAAAGTATAAACCACAAAATTACTTATATTCAAAGAAACGTTCCTGTGGCACTTTATATTATAATACAAAATTTATAACAATAAACATACCTATTAATTCAAATTGGGCTATAAGATATAATTAAATAAAATAATTTCAATTAAACAAGTTTTTAGGAATTAATTATGTAAATGAGACTAATTTCTGAAATATACACAAGTTATCTTAAATTCACTAATAATTGATTAAAAATAATTATTATAATTAATATTATATATAATATATGTAAATACCTGAGGAATATGTAGAATAGAGAGCAGTCGTTTGATGGATGACTTATGAATACAATATATTAATTATGAATAAATTATCTATTAATATGTAGTTAATAAATGAATGATGGATAAAGTTAGATTATAGAAAACCCTAAATATCCAAGCTTATATGGAATGGACATCTCGAGAGACGAAACATCAACTATGGGATCATCCACACACCTGCCAAATCCGGTAGGAGGCTCAAGACATAAATTGATCTCTTATTGAATATATATATATTTTAATATGAATGAATGATGGATAAATGTTAGATAGAGAAGCCCTAAAAGATCCAAGCTTATTTGGATGGAACTGAGAAATTCATTAATGGATAGATTCCATGCCATTGTGGAAGGCACTACAGATATGTATAATGATACTATCAACTTCCATCATGTCTCCACAAACGAAAGATAGATATTTTCTTGAAAATTGTTAAAAAATTCCTGACGGGTGTCCAAGGAACATTCAAGATGTGCAAGTAAAAGGTTAACCTAAAAGAAGCAAATTGTCAAATATTAAGAGCCATAATCACTTATTTTTCACTTAGTTTCTGATATTAGCTTGGTTTCATAAATTAATTTTTAAGCTTCACATTGGAATAAGTCATTTCATAATTTTTTTTAAATTAGAGATAAATTTGAAGGAAAATCATTTTGGTCAATAAATAAAAATTCTAAAAAAAAAAAAAAAAAAAAAATAAAAAAAAAAAAAAAAAAAAAAAAGGAAGTACCTGCCCTAAATTATATTTTTCCCTAAATGCGTGGGGAAAACAATATAGAACAGGGGCAAAAACCAGAAAGACGGCACTTTTTTTTCCTTTGGGCTTTCACATAAATAGCAAATTGTTCCATATATGAGTGAGTGATCCTCTTTTTGATTTTTTATTTATTGTTTAAATTTTATTTAAAAAAAAAAAAAAAAAAAAAAAGGAAGTACCTGCCTAAATTATATTTTTCCCTAAATGGTGGGAAAAATATAGACAGCAAACCAAGAAAGACGGCACTTTTTTTTCTTTGGCTTTCACATAAATAGCAAATGTTCATATATGAGTGAGGATCCTCTTTTGATTTTTTATTTATTGTAATTTATTTAGTTTGGACATTATTCTATAAACTATTCCATTTATATGTAACTTATTGCTTCCTCTTTCAGTAATGCATGCTATCCATATGCAGCATTCCCTTACAACCTGCAAAATTGGAAATGTAAACAGTTATTAGCGACAATTAATTATATATGATCGCTGTGGGCATAACGGCAGCATTTTTTAATTTTTATGCAAATTCATTTTGTTTTATTTTATCTTAGTACAGTCATATTATTTTATACGTCTCGGTGTTTTTCGAATTGATCGGATTATCTGAAAGTAGTGTATATTCGGTCGATTATGCTCCACACTAAATTTTTCGAATTCTTTTTTGAAAGAAACTAATCAAAATTATTCAGAATCAAATTAAATCAAATTATTACATTTAATTGGTTTATCTTTTTAGATCCTTAAGACTGAACTGAATTGAAAAATTTTCTGTTTTTTCGTCATTAACATAAAATATAATCGGTTATGAAAATGTCAAACCAAACCGTTTGTCCAGCTCTTCTTTCACAAAAAGCACTAACATTATACACTTCAAAACATTAAAAAAGAAAATGGAGAGGAAAAAATTAGCATAAATATTACTCACTGGGTATATTCAATTTTGATTTTGCCAGCAACAGGATTTGCAATTAGAGAGAAAGCTTCCTGGGACAGATCAATAGTTCCCTGGCAACCTGGCGGACAGTAATCAACTATTGTTACATCAACGCTGCCTCCCTTGCAAGGTGGAGGGCCATTGTTTGTGGCACCAGTACACCTGACTCTGTATTTCCTCCCGCAAGCTGCCCCGTTATTCCATATGGCGTCGCTCGCTGCGGCTATCATTACCCCCTTATTTGCATTTCCATAGCAATAGGAGGCTGTCACAGGAAGAGAAAATGTAACATTTATGTGATTAGAAAATAATTATGGAATCAATCGTTTCCAAATCAGTAAAATTATATATCTTTGATTCATTGTAAGGTAAAAAGGGTCAGAATAACATTATAGATATATAATAACAGTAGCCTAATAAAAACTCGCGGACAAAAGCATTCAAATTCGAAATTTCTCTCGTATGCATTTAGACACGTACGGACATAATGGTTATAAAAAGTGGCAGTCCCTTCTGCAGCATATGAAATTGTGGCGAGGCATCCTGCCATGCTTAGCATCAGCATTACTTGCATCCCTAATCCCATGATTTCTATGTTGAATGGTTTTCTAATTTTAATTTAATTTAATCAAGACTCAGTGTTTTAAGATGTAGTTGGTCTCCCCTTTTATGGAGTCAAGAATTACGTATACACATTGTATCAGTATATTAAAACAAGGCAGGTAAAATGAGCATGAGGTATTCTTTCTTATAAGCTACCTATTACTATAATTAATCAAAACTCATAAATGAAGTTTATTTGATATGTAAGCAAGTCAAATATAAAGTATTTTAGCATGTAAAAATTTTTAAATAACTCTATTTTAGCTTTTAAATATTAAATTGTAAAATTATTTTTTGGTTTTCAATACCTTGTATTTTTCAATGCATATTCTGAATATATATATTAGAAAATTTAGAGAATTTATTCTAATTAATCTTTTTTATTAATTTACTACGGATAGGGCTTCTGCCATTTAGGATATGTTCGGCAATTTTAATAGTTCTAGTAGATGTTATGTTATAGTAACTGTCAGCTGTTTTACTGGCTGTTAGCGATTAAATATTAATTGTTGTTTATATAACCATTAAAATAGATGTGTTCGATAAAAATAAGTATTTGATTAGCTGTTTAATATAAAAAGATAAAAAATGATAGGATCACAGAGAACAAGGCAAAGACAAATGATAGACATAGAAGTCATAAAAAATTTATACAACGCTAAACGGTAATAAGGATAACGTCTAGTGAAATACTACTTCAAACTCTAAACGTTAGGATCAATGTGACATTACCGAACACAATAATTAATTAAAACAGTATTTTAACCCAATCAAAACACTAAACACTATCCCAAAATGCTATTACCAAACAGAGCCTTAATTTGTTTAAATTTTAATACATATATACCATTTAATTTGTTTAAATTTTAATACACATATTAAAATCCAATGAAAAGATTAATATCAGACCGGCCAAACTCTGAGAATTGATAGTGAACTCAAATATGTTCACTGTCCTATATTTTAGGAAAAAGCAACTGTTCTTTACATATATTTATAAAAAAAAAAAAAGAAAAAACCTAAAATGAGTAAACATTTATGTTAACTTAATTTATACAATAATAAAACCTCGTCATTTTGGTAAAAAGTCTAAAGACTAAACTACCCATTGCATGATTTCTATATTTACATCTCCTTCAAGATGGTGTTCGGGAGAAATCTACCAACTCCATATTGGATAATTGAAAAGAAAAAGGAAAATGAAGAGATTTAGTAAACAAATCTGCAAGTTGAGGCTTGGATGAAACATGCTGAGGAACAATGAAACCTATAGTAAATTGATCTCTAATCACATGACAATCTATATCAATGTGTTTAGTTCTTTCGTGAAAACTAGATTGGTAATAATGCATATGGCCACCTGATTGTCACAGTTTAAGGGAATTGGTAGAGACACAGGATATAAAGCTCTTTTAGGATATAAGAGATCCACTTAAGTTCACAAACTGCTATTGCCATGCTACTATATTATCTGTTTATGCTACTATTTTTTTAGGTCGGACTGTGCTTAGAGAATGAAACAAAATTTGAGAAAAAATAAACTTGGCTCTAAATTATAGTCAAATTAACACATAATTTCAAAAACTAACTATGAAGTCCCTAAATTATGATTTTATTAATATTTTAGTTCTTCCTCTAAAATTAAATGATCAAAGTGTGACCGGAAATAATAAAGAAAAAATCAAAATATTAACAGAAATTATAAGTAATTAGGGATCTCATAATTAATTTAACTATAATGTAAAGACTAATTTCTCGTTCAATTGACAATTAAAAGAGATTATTTTGGACCGAAAATCAACTCGTTAATAAAATCATAAGTCAGGGAACTCATAGTTATTTTTAAAAATATAAATCTCTATGTACTAATTTGAATATAACTCAGGACCAACTTATTTATTTTTCCATAAAATTTTAGCCCAACTAGGCTTAAGCCCAACTCAAGTCAAATCAGTCTCATTGCAGAACAAATCGGGCTTGGACTTGAAATCGGGCTTGGACTTGAAAAAAGATACCCTCTATTTTTGTCAGGCTGATTCGGTTGGTCCGAACGGGTGCCCAAACCCATAAACAAGTCTACTTGCTTTATTTATCAAGGTATTATTTCTCTTTATTCTACTTTAATGTAGATTTATAATAAGCTCAAATTAAAAATCTTACACCATACAGGAAATAAGTATCCAGCCGATTGAAAAATATTTCTCCCGTAGAATTTTTTTTTTCCCCCAAATTTCACAAGAACTTTAATCACTGTGCCTTTAGATAACACATACATAGCATTAAAATTATTTTATAATAAATGTTAGGCAACCTATGTTATATATTTATTTTTCGTACATAAAAATATAATAATGATAAAATTATAAATTTATCCTTGTAATCTATGCTTTTTAGTTACTGCAATCCTTTTTTTTTTTTTTAAATAGTTTTTGCTCGGATATATATTTTTTCTATTCATATCTCTCTTGTTTGTTCCTTTTCATTTTTTGTTGTCTTCTATATCTTTATTTTCTTTAAAAAAATTTCAGATTATTCTTTTGAAACACCTTTTAATAAAATTTCAACAAAAATATCGAAAATTTAATAAAGAGATAGTTTAGTAAGAAATTACAATCAAATATTCTTATTAACATTAATAAAAAATAAAATCAAGCCTCGAAATTTTGTAGTTATTTTTATTGGAAGGATTATTTTAATATTAAAACCACAAATCCAAGCCTTCCTCCAATTTTCATGGGTTTTGCATCTTATTCCTATAACATGTGAAAAGTAATTGAGGATTAAATAACATTTTCCATGAGCATCAGCTCAAAAAAATATATATATATTGAAACAAACAGATCATCCTTTGATCTAGATTTTGTCACTTGTTCTTTCTGTTTTTTTCTCTCTTTCCTGCAACACCCCCTGCTATGAAAGGTTCAAAAAAAAAAAAAAAAATTAACTAAAAAATAAAATCAAGCCTCGAAAATTTTGTACGTTATTTTTTATCCTGGGAAGGATATTTTAATATTAAAAATCCACAAATCCAAAGCCTTCCTCCAATTTTCATGGTTTTGCATCTTATTCTTTAAACATGTGAAAAAGTAATTGAAGGATTAAATAAACAATTTTCCCGATGAGCATTCAGCTCAAAAAAAAATATTATATATATTTGAAACAAAAACAGATCATGGCCTTTTGATCTAGATTTTGTCACTTGTTCCTTTCTGTTTTTTTTCTCTCTTTCCCTGCAACACCCCCTTGCTATGAAAAGGTTCAGAAAAAAAAAAAAAAAAAAGGAAAAAAAAAAAAAAAAAAAGAAAATTGAGAGAATATATATATAATTTATAGATTTTTGAATGGAATTTCTTTTATTATACTATTAATAAATATTATAAAGATATATCAATAGTAAAAAAAAAAAAAATAGAGTGTGACTTTTTATTATTAAAGTAAAAATATATAGATAAACATATGTTCAGGAATATGGATTGAAAATATTGAAATTTATAGAGATAAATAAAAAAAAATAAAATGAAAGGTGGTAAAATTCATTAATTTGATTTATTTTAAAATTAATGTAAAAAACAATTAACTCGCTATTTCATTAAAATTCATGAATAAAAAATTTATTTTAATTAATTAAAAGTGGTATAAGTCTTCAGCTTATCATGTTATTAATACTATAATTAATCAATTATATTTAACATAATTTAATTTACCATAATTTAATTTAATTAAAAAAATTTTAAATTTTTTTAATATAAAATTTAATAACCTGTCCATATCATTTTTAAAATTTATAAATTATGAAATTTATTTATATGATTTTAAAAAGTAAATTTATAAATTATGAAATTTATTTATATGATTAAAAGTTATATAAATTGTTATTTAACACGCTATTAATTCTCGCACGTTATATTAATCAATTACATTTAAGATGATTTAATTCAATCATAAATTAATTTATTTTCAAATAAATATAAAAACAAACAATTAAGTCAGACATGTTATTAATTTGGAATCCTACTTAGCAATACCAAGAAAAATTTTGTCTGCTTTATATATATATATATATATTGATTTGATAATTTACAGCTGCAAAACCATGTCAAATAATATTTAAAAAAGAAAACAAATAAAAGGTTCGAGAAAGAACTACTAACCCCATTAGTGGAATAGTTGAAATGTAAAAAATTTTGAACCTTTAAGAAAAAAATGAATAATTTATTTAGAAGCAGGGACCAATATACATTTATCCAAAATACAGAAGAATATAGTGATTCAACTTATAGATATAGTATTCCTAAAAAAATTAAAGTGTTTATTGAGAGTAAACAATTTAAAATTGAAAAAAAAAAAGTGCATTACTACACCATTTAAAAAAAAACACATTAATACATTAAATAATCAAATCAAACCAAACCAAAAACACTAATTCAAAATAAATCCAAACCAAATCAATACATTAATATATTAAATAATCAAATCAAATAATGCCAAGTGGAAGTCTAATTGGAGGAATATACCACATATCAAATTAAATGATCAAGTGGATACGCTATATGTTAACTTTCTAAGGAAACAATGCTTGCTTTATATATATATATGCATAAGTAGGATAAGGTGTTAACTTTCTCTAAGGAAACAATGCTTGCTTTATATATATAAAAATATATATAATATAATTATATATATATATATATATATATTAATATATATAGATATTATTGTTTGAAATAAATTTATAACGTTTTTTTTCCTAAATTATATATTGGTTTGAATAAATTTATAACGTTTTTTTCCTAAATTACACGTTCAAGCATGTGCAAGTAGAAGCACCACGGATCAGATCAGACAAATTACCAATTAAGGGCTTCTATTATCATGAAAATAACAATTAGTTACACTTGATTAATTCATAAAATTTGATAATTTCATTCTATATGGAACAATTTCCTTCTCTAATAATAAAAAATAATTGATAATTTGCAAAAAGATAATTATTTCTTGCGTTATATAATATGAATTTTAATCTATGTAGCACGAGGATATGAAAACCCGAAGCCAGGTATGAAAAATGAATTTAAATTCCAATTTACATGGCGGAAATTGTCTTTTATTAAAAAATATTTTTCGAAACATAAATGCAACCGGGTGATTCAATGAAAATGGTAAGAATTAATAATTTGCAAACGTAATTATTTGTCATTATACATTGTTTATATAAAAATACCTCATCACTTTCCTTCCTTATATTAATTTACTTTTATTGTAATTATATTTACTCGAACTGGATTTTATTTTCGTATTACTAACTTGTATATTGAGCGAAAGTAAAAAAAATGAAGGAAAAATAAATAAAAAATTTTGAACTTTTATTAACTCAAGGTTTAAAAATTTTTAAACTTTATTTGACTTCTTAACTTTGAAACTTTTTTAAAAATTATTGGCAAAAAAATCAAAATAAATAAAAAAATTTTCAGTATAAAAAATTTGAAATTTCAAAGTCATAATATCTAGTAATTAAAAGAGTTTTTATTATTGGGCACTTATATTGAAAACAAAGAGAAATATCATGATAAGAAAACGACAATTCAGTGGCTGATGGGAGAGATATGTGTCCATGTATGGAAACTGAATTATGGATAAACTGAAAAGAAGAGAAGATATTTAGGATTTGAAAGTAGGTTTTCTCGGTTGAAAGGGATTTTTTGACGAAAGCACCTGGTTTTAAAATTCTGTGTGCCATTATCATATCAACTGTGCTTTCTTTAAAATATTAGACCATAATTTCAGACAAATTTTAAAATTGTTTTTGTAAAATATCAAATAATTTCCGTTAGGTATGGAGTTTATATAATAAAATAACAATTATTTTAATTGTCCATTCATATATTTTGCGTATAAATTAATTAGAGCTTTGTTAAAATGGCACAAATTGTGCCTGACACGATCTATAAACATTTACAATTATACTTTTAGTGTAACATTGGTAATATCTAAATTGCTAAAAAGTTTTATAATGGTGTTACAGTCTTTTCATTTATATCGGGTCTTGCACAAGTTAATTAATAATTTTGTTCATAAAAAATTTTATTCATATGTGAAATTGAGAATTAAATTTTTTTCTAATTATTTTATATAAAATAAACTGTGATGTATTAATTTTAATTTGCTGATATGATCTCGTAAAATTATAAAATGTATATAGGTGAATATAAAATATATGAGTAGTTTTTACTTTAAAAACCTTTAGATTCAATTTTATTATATATATTGGTATTAACTATAGATATCTCTAGTCCATTGAACTATGATTAAATCATGTTTGCTCTGAATCAGTCTACTAAAAGGTAAAAGCTTACAGCGAATATTTGATCTATAAGAATCGAACTCTCGGTTCCATTTAAGGGAGAAAATGTGAACCACTCATTAATCTTATTATATACTCATTTCAATTTTTTGATAACCTTATTATATACTCAAATTATCGATGTTTAAGGTTTTTCTTATTCTATTTTAAGTGTTATTAAGACTTAATAAAAAATTTATTGCAATACTTTTTATCGTTATTTATTGCAACGCATCGATATTAAAGTAAAATGTAAAAATTTGAGAAGGTAAAAAGAGATTGAGGTAATTTAAAATGAAATTTTATAAAATTAAAATAAATTAATATTTTTTTTGTAAATATGAAAAGCTTAGAGTTGAGCTTGAGGGAGGGAATAAGTTGATAATGTTTTTTTTTTTTTTTTTTTTTTTTTTTTTTTTTTTTTTTGCAACGCATCGATATTAAAGTAAAATGTAAAATTTGAGAAAGGTAAAGGTAATAAGAGATTGAGGGTAATCTTAAAATGGAAATTTATAAAAATTAAAAATAAATTAATATTTTTTTTTGTAAATATGAAAAAAGCCTTAGAGTTGAGCTTGAGGGAGGGAATGAAGTGATAAATGTTTTTTTTTTTTTTTTTTTTTTTTTTTTTTTTTTTTTTTTTTTTTTTTTTTTTTTTTTTTTTTTGAAGGTAAGTTGATAATGTTTGGTATTATTTAATTGTTTAGTTGAATTAAATAATATCATTTTGTTATCACATTGACTTAAATATTTACCAATTACTAGTAATTTATGGATTGATTCTATTTAAAAAATTAATTTTGCAGGTGATCGTTTCAAAATTGGTGAAAAAATATTTATGACCGTCAATTGCGACCGTGTGTTTGTGTAATTGCGACCATACTACTGTCGTAATTGAAAATTGTCAATTATATAACTAAATGCGGTCGCTAATCTGGTCTCAAATGCCAATTGTCTATTATATATAACTTTTGCAACCATTGTGGCCACGATTTTCATTAATGAAAATAAAAAATTATTTTAATTTATAATTATTTTTTGGTAATAGAATTTTGATTGAAATAGGAAGTCACTAAAATCAATTAAATTAAAGATTTATATATTATAGATTATAGATAATATAATATATATTTTAAAAAATTTATTTTAAAATGTTAGTGGAGTATGTATATATACATATATATGGTCATTTATAGTCTATCTATAATATATAATCTCTCTATGGTCATTTATAGTCCTAACTTTATAATATACTTAATATGGTCATTTATAGTCTATCTATAATATATAATCTCTCACCTAAGTATTTGATCTTGAGAATTTTTCTCTTGCAGGTATATTACGTGATTTTAGTGTAATAAGCAATTTTTGCTTTTTTTTTTTTCCTTTTGTTAAGGAAAATAAACAAACTTTGGTAAGAAATCAAATCAAAAATCAGTACAAACAAGTATTGGCTAAGCACTTGCAAAAACAAGACAATCTTTAATAACAAGACCAAAATAAGATAAATCATCTTGCACCTTATTAATGGCTCGAACAACAGCGTGAGAGTCTAATTTGAAGATAGCACGAGCGATACAAAAGTCTAATTTCGCTTTTCTTTAATCTCTCTGTCATTATAGTTGTCATGCAAGTTCATTGAAATGTCTTTCTGGAAGAAAATGATTGTCCAGCATTGATGTGCTTCTAGCAATTTGATGTTTTTTCTTACACAGTTTATTTGCTTGCTTACTGTTATTTTTGTTTTTGGTTGTGCTTTTCCTTTTTTCTGCTTTGGGTTCAATATTCTTGGGTTCTTTCAGTTAAAAAGTAACCTCATTGTCTGATTTGAATGAATATCTAATAATTAGGTATTGATAATAACATATAAAATCTATAGTAGCTCATATAATCTGTTTTGATTTTTCTAATCATCAAGAAATGATTTTCCTCGTGGCTATTTATTTATTCGTTATCGAGGCTTCTTACTTCCATTTTCTGGTTCATTTATATATTTAATTCTTACATTTTCTGGTTCCCATTTATATAATTAATTCTAAATTTCTTCGTGAAATATATTTGTATATCCTGTTTCATGTAGATCATTCTTTTTTTTTTTTTTTTTTGCCATTATGCGGTCAGGAATGGTAAGACCGCCTCCATTTTTTTTTTTTTTTTTTTGCTGCGTGCAGGATGGTAGACTCAAAATTGAGCCAATGGTTGAATATATTAGCTTGTTTTTTGCTATTGTTTTTCCAAGATAGAAGGCCTTTTTGTGGGAGTTACTTATGTTAAGGACGCGGTGGCTTAAGGAGCTGGTAACTGTACTTTAATCTGATTAAATTAGATATTATTAATATACTCATTTAAAAAAAAAAAAAAAAAAATTTAAAGTTGTGAATTCTGAAATTTGATATTCTTGCAGTTTGTTTGGATGGAAGCCCTCCAGCTTACCATTTAGATAAGGGGTTTGGTACAGGCATAAATAATTGGTTGGTTCACTTTGAGGTGTGTTTTCTTTTAATGAGGATTATTTCAATACTAAATGCTTTAAGCAAGCAAAAGAGAGAAAAACATAAATTTCTGATTGAAATAAAAAACCTATCTTGTTCTATTTTTCCTGAAAAGAAGTTTCTTGGATCCTACTTTGTGGATGCTTACAGGAGCCAATAAGCTTTTGGATGAAAGAACCAAAAACATTTGATTTCATGAATTAAATGACATATTAGAAGAATGAAGATCATTAATTTATTTACAGAAAGCTTTATTAGATCATGTATGTTGGAAACTGTATGATTCTGCATCCTATCTTATTATGGTATCATTTTGCCGTCATGGTTTTAACTTTTAAGGGAGGAGGATGGTGCAACAATCTGACAACCTGCCTTTCCCGCAAAAATACTCGTTTAGGTTCATCTGAGCAAATGGCAACACAACTTGCTTTCTCTGGGATTATGAACAACAAGATACAATTTAATCCAGGTAGTACTGGGTATTTCATTGTTAAACACTGTTATTGAATTTTGATTGTTATACCTTTGCTTAAATTTTGCTTCTTTTTTTAATTGCTTTCTCTGGGATTATGAACAACAAGATACAATTTAATCCAGGTAGTACTGGGTATTTCATTGTTAAACACTGTTATTGAATTTTGATTGTTATACCTTTGCTTAAATTTTGCTTCTTTTTTTAAAATATAATGATTGCAATTTTATCTGAACTTGTTAGATTTCTACAACTGGAATAGAGTTAAGATCAGATACTATGATGGCTCATCATTCACTGGTGACGTGCAAGAAGTTAATCCTGTAAGTTAACAAACTTTAGAAGGAACCTGCAGCTTAAAATGCCAGAAATTTTTTGTTTTAATCAGATAGTAATTTGACCAGGCTACTAACCTTCACTTCAGAGGAGCAAGGATTTGGCTTGCTGTCATTGAAGATCTATTAGCTAAAGGAATGAAAAATGCTAAAAATGTAAGATTCACTCAAAGATTTTTCCACTTGCATCTCTTTCAAATTGTTAGGATACCGGCAATAAAATTACGAGAATAAATACGGCAGCGGAAAAATAGAAATGGGACACACAGAAATTTACGTGGTTCACCCTCACAATTCAGCACAGAAAATAATATACGTGGTGTATCACCCTCAACATATATTAAGCGGGCTACGTCCACGGGACCAACTCCGAATTATTTCTTCAGCGTATATTTAAAAATTAAGGGCCTAGCGATTTTACAAAGAGAAAGTAATTACAAAAAATAGGTGATATTCACTCTTGTTTCCCAAAAAACACGCCTAATAATGTTCAGCTATTTATCTAAACCCGTAGGGTCTCTTTAACCCACACATATATATACAATTACTCTAAAGAAGTTAACTCTCATATGCTTTCCTCATACTCCTGCGTTGTGGTCTATGTCGTGAAATGCTATCCTGCCTGCCGTGCCTAATATACTCACAAATATGATGAGAGTCCAGAGTCTGAGAAATAAATAGAGACATACAACTCCAGCGGACTCATTACATTATTTTCAGACTGGCATGCCAACACCATTCATATGGTTGGTCTGCCAATACCTTATGATTTTTCTTATTTTCATAATTGTGTGCGGTCCATCCTTGCGGAAGTGGGGGCACACCCCACCACCAACAAAAGTCTCCCCCTACACGCTCAAGTGGGGACGTCAGCCAATTCTCCATTCATCCCTGCAGCTAATCGACAATATTCAAATGGTCTTTTTGAAAGAGTCTTCGTTAACCATTATCTGAACCGCATTTTCATCTGTAGGAATCTTCTCAAGCTGTAACTGCTTCATTCCAGTACATCCCTGATTCCAATGATATCTAACATCAATGTGTTTTGATCTTGAATGAAAAGGAGGAATTCTGGTCCCAAGATGAATTCGCACTCTGGCTATCGCAGAATATCCAAATACGTTCTGATGAAATTCGCAGTTCACCTTCAAAGAAACTTCTTCATCCACAACAACTCTTGCATTGCTTCTGTTTAGTTGCTTTATTGAATTCTGCTTCAGTTGTTGATAGAGCAACGGCCACTTCTTGTTAATTCTTGACTTTTCCAAGGTGAATTGCGCTTTGACTGTCACAAAATATCTGATATCATTCTTGATGAATTTCGAGTTCATTCAAGAATTTCTTCATCCATAGCAACTGCTTGCACGCTTCAGTAATCTTGACTGCCACGACACGGCTCCCCCTACAAATGTGATTGGATATCTTGAAAATCCATTTCACTGTAGTCCAATGTTCCTTTCCCGGATTTGAAAGAAACCGACTAACAACACCAACAGCATGAGTAATGTCCAGTCTTGTGCATACTATGGCGTACATTAAGCTGCCAATGGTGGATGCATAAGGAATCTTCTTCAGTTCTTCTTTTTCTTTCTCACTTGAAGGACATTGACTGAGACTTAATTTGAAATGTCCTGCAAGTGGGGTACGAACTGGTTTCGCATTGCTCATGTTGAATCTGCTGAGAATTTTCTCTATGTACTTCTCTTGAGACAGCCACAACTTTCTCTTTTTCCAGTCTCTGGAGATCTTCTAAGACTTGCTCTTCTTCTTCTTCTTGTTCTGATTCTACCAAGAATCTGCTTGCTGGGTCCCAGTCTTTCACTAGCAAAAGACTATCTTAAGCTGTTTCTTCAAGCTAGTTAATTTAACTGACAGAATTTTTGACCAGATTAATCAAATGACACTACATAGAGCAGAGGAAAAATGTAGTCATCACTCAGAGAATTTCTATTACGAAGAACAATTGATCCTGAAGTAGTCTTTTATGTAACCTAGCTCCCCCATAAACAGATTTCAAACTTCTGAGCTAGATACCACTGTCTTTGGTGCCTAGACCTTCAAGCCGTACAGGGCCTCTTCGTTCAGAATTAACAAAACACAACTCTTCTTTCCCCTTAGGCTCTTCTTCAGTTTACAGACATAATCTTCTTTCCCCTTTTTTATGAAACCCTCTGGCTGCTCCATGTATATTTCTTCTTCCAAATCTCCATGTAGGAAGGCAGACTTTACATCCATTTGCTCGATTTCCAGATCAAAACTGGCGGCCATTCCGAGCACTGTCCGAATGGATGTCATTTTCACAACTGGTGAGAAGATCTCATCAAAATCTATACCCTTTCTTTGATTAAATCCTTTCACAACCAGTCTAGCTTTGAATCGTGGTTGGGAGCTGTGTTCTTCCTGCTTGATCCTGAACACCCACTTCACCACACACTTGTCTCAAAACTTTCGTTGGCCTTGGGCAAACACTTTACCAGCTCAAATGTTTTATTTTCATGCAAGGATTTCATTGTCTTCTTGCATGGCTTCAAAACCAGTTATCCATTTGTGTATCCACTTTCCCAGATTGCATTTCTCAAAGCATTCAGGTTCTCTCCTCCCCGTCAGTTCATCAAATACCATACTCAATTTATCGATGAATATCTAGTAGATGATGTCTGATATAGTACTACGACTATCTTAAGGTTTGAGTAACTACCTCTCCATTCTGGTGAACTGGTGGCTTGAACCGCTCATTAGACACCGAGCATCAAACATCTGTCTTTTCTCGGGGATATACACATTCCTGATGAGGACTCTGGATTTTCTAAGAACTCTGCGCTCTTGTTCTTGTGGAGAACATTTCTTACATCTGGCCAACTTGTCTTTGTTCTGGTGCCTGGAGGAAACTATTTTACCATTCTGATTGAATCATCAATTTGCAGTACTCTTTCGGCAGCTGTTGCCTGAGGTCTATTTCAACAATCTTCAATAGTGCGGTGATTTTTCAACAAATATACAGCATCAATACTACTTCTTATCATCTTTTCTAGGATTGGATCAAAAATTCTAAATAGCCAAATTGATCGTTACCATAGACCAAATGAATACACATTGTCGGAGTGCTAACAGTCAAGCTTGACCTTCTTCATCCTTAGGAATTGCACGAAGCTTTTGCAACCAAACAACCCGCAAAGATCATAGGAAACATCCTTTCCTGACCATACTCGTTTGGCAGTATGCAAATCATACTGAAAGAGGAACAAGCAGTGTGGAACGACTTTTTATTGAGTAATGGAACTGCTGTAATTAAGAGCTCACCCACAAAATCTTTTTAGGACCAAAACTTTTGCATGTTGAGATAAAACGATCTGACTCTCTCCATCAAAGTATTCTGGTTCATCCTCTCAGCTCAAACATTCAATTGCGCGTCTTGGGAGGTGTTGTTGATGTCGAAAATACCCATGCTCTTTAGCAGAAAGCATGCAAATGGCCCCGTGTCTCATTCTCACCATTATTTGTAATCTGAATGCAACCTAGCTTATTCTGTCTGTCTGTCGCTCAACCAAGTTTAGAAATGTTTAAAGACATTCTAAAACTTGATCTTTAGACTTCAAAAGTGTAATACCCAGGTCTTCCTTAGAATGGTCAAAATCCGATAAATGGTTACGAAAGTATCGAGTTTCCGCCAATAGAGCAATCAGTCAATGCGATCCACAATAGATCCTGAATGTATCTATTCTAACACCATTCTTTCATTCTGGGAAGGCTGAGAATATCTGAATGGCTACTCTATGTCTGCTTTACCTGCCCATAACGGAAAATTCAGAACATTTAATCTTCAAATGGACTTATCCAATCCAGATAGCACTTTATTTTTTCTACTCCAGAGTTTGTCTTCCTTTTCTCACTCATTGTGGCCTAGTCGTTTATGCCACAATTCAACTATAACGTCATCCTCCGCTTACATTTAAAGTTATCTCGGGAGAGCTTTGCATGCATTCACGTACAAACTTGGATCTTTCTTTTCCATGGGCTACCACCCACTGTGAACCTTTTGTGTTGAGTTTACCATGAGCTATTATCTGAAGGTGGCTACAGGAAATTTCAAGCATCAAGTCTGCCAACCGAGATTAAATTAAGAAATGCACATATGTCTCGGTACATGCACGCGGCATCTTTTAAAATAATCTCGAAACCATTTTTTCTTCTCCAGGCAAATATCTCCCTTTACCGACGACTGTTCAACAGATTTGCCGTAACTCGCTATTCTTGACCACACCCGATGTCTGGTGATTGTAAGATGAAAAATTTTTCTCTCCGAGACTGTTGCATTGAAGTTGTAGCCCACTATCAATTCCCAAACTAGATGCATCTGGGTTGCAAGATTGATAGTGTCTTCTGTATGAAACAGTTGGATCTCAAGCAAATGACAACTAGCATTCACATCACTGCTTTTCATTCTATTCTTCTGACCTTGCCTTGATCTTTCTCCTTGAATCACTTATTTGAACTTTCCGGCCAATACCTTTTAATGTTGCCCCTTCTTCCCACAATGATGAGCACACAATATTTGGCCAGATTTAAATTTTGATTTACCCCTGCTCTTTATCTCTGTTAGTTTAACTTCTAGATTGTGCTCCTCCCTCTAGACTGGTTATTTACTTTTTAGCATCTGCTAAAAGCCATGTCATGACTGAGATTGAAGAAGGAATTTTGTGACTTGCTCTTCATTTCTTCATTCAGACAGGCATTTTTAACAAACTTCCCAAGCTGACTCCACTATGTGGTGTAGAGGTTTTATTTGATTATCTTCAAAGTCTTCCAAGACTCTGGTAAAGGAGGCAAGCACCATAAGGCCGAGGAATTTTATCATCAAAGTTTTAATATTGCCATATTTGACAGTGAAGTGGAATAGTCACTTGCATTTCACTCAAGTGATCTGCTACAAGAAGTACGCTTCTTGGTATTTGGAAATTCATCAGCTTCGTCAAATTAAAATTAATTGGATTGTTGCCGGATTTTTGAGCATATTAATCTTGCAAGCATATATGTCCATAAGTTTCTGGCGTGAGTCTCGTTTAACAAAGACATAAGAATGTGGTGTGTATACATATCATCATCCGTACAAATATGAATGCGAATATAACACAAACTGTTCATGCCGAAAGACGCCATTCTTTACAATGCAAGTCTTTGTCTAATCCAGGTTGCTTGAACCAACACGGGGCAAAATGCATTTTGGTTACCATAAGTACGAGAATACTTCTCATTTTATTTTCTCCATATATGGTTATTTGCCGCCATTTAGACTGATCATTTTGCTATTTCTAGCTCATGACTTTTGAGTGAATAGTAACGCGTATTAATATAATAGTAATAGTACTACAAGAAATACGTAACCTGTATACGGAAATAGTTACTATACAGTTGTATAATAGTACCTGTAACGTGAATAGCTACTATACGTAATAGTGCTGAAGGCTTAACGGCTCAGCAACAGTAAACGCCAATAGTAACTTATTCACCAATAGTAACTATTCACCATCAACCACGAGTTACTATTTTACTATTCACCACTAAGTCGATTCTGCAACGTCTTTCCGAGCAGACTGCACCAATGGACTCGTCGTAATTTTCTCGTCTTCGTGGTATATTTATTTTCAAAATATATCCGCGGATCTGGTACCGCTATCTGACCGGCTGAATCAGCTGAAACCTTCGGCTCTGATACCACTTGTTAGGATACCGACAATAAAATTACGAGAATAAATATGGCAGCGGAAAAATAGAAATGGGACACACAGAAATTTACGTGGTTCACCCTCATTGCTTTCTCTGGGATTATGAACAACAAGACACAATTTAATCCAGGTATTACTGGGTATTTCATTGTTAAACACCGTTATTGAATTTTGATTGTTATACCTTTGCTTAAATTTTGCTTCTTTTTTTAAAATATATTGATTGCAATTTTATCTGAACTTGTTAGATTTCTACAACTGGAATAGAGTTAAGATCAGATACTGTGATGGCTCATCCTTTACTGGTGACGTGCAAGAAGTTAATCCTGTAAGTTAACAAACTTTAGAAGGAACCTGCAGCTTAAAATGCCAAAATTTTTTTGTTTTAATCAGATAGTAATTTGACCAGGCTACTAACCTTCACTTCAGAGGAGCAAGGATTTGGCTTGCTGTCATTGACGATCTATTAGCTAAAGGAATGAAAAATGCTACGAATGTAAGATTCATTCAAAGATTTTTCCACTTGCATCTCTTTCAAATACCCTTCTCTATTAACTTGTTACAATATGTCGCTGTAGGCTCTACTTTCCGGTTGCTCAGCTGGTGGATTGGCTTCCATTTTGCATTGTGATAGCTTCCAAGGTCTCTTACCTACGGGTACTAAAGTAAAATGCCTTTCAGACGCTGGTTATTTTATCAATGTGTAAGTTCATTGATGGACCTTATACCTTGATCGATGCTATATCCATAACTATGGATATCCTTGTAAATCTTTTTGAAATCTAATATCTGAGTATTTTATAACAGGAAGGACATTTCTGGAGCACCACATATACAAAACTACTTCAATGAAGTGGTTTCATTGCATGTATGTTTTCTGTCTTTACGTTGTTTCAAAACAACGTAGTATCGGTCAAAAGAGTTCAATGCCAGGGTAAATTCTGTTGGAATGGAGAGGGGTTTGATTCATAGTTTTCTAATCTTTTTCCACAGGGATCAGCAAAAAATTTGCCTCTCTTCTGTACATCAAGAATGAATCCAGAATTGGTATTTTTTTTTTCTTTTTAGTTTTTATGTTGCTTTCACTTGTCAACGTTTCTTTTATAGTGTTGCTGATAGAATGATGCTTCTCAATGATATATAGTGTTTTTTCCCACAAAATGTGGTGCAGCAAATACGAACACCCCTTTTTATTCTAAATTCACCATACGATTCATGGCAGGTTAGCACATTGCTATTTCTCTGTAAAGAAATGGATTGGTACTTCTGATTTTTTTCATATTATCAAATAATTATTTCATCAAGGTATTGTTTTCCCTGAAAATTTACAGTTAGTCTTTCTTCAAGGCAAAATTTCTGCTGTTTATCCGAATACAGAGCCATTCTGATTGATTACAATTGTATGAATGAAATCCTTTTATCTTACAAAGTAAAAAATAGGGACATTAATTATAGTTTTTTGTATTATTTCCTTTACCAATGGGAGTTATAATGATGTACTTCTCCTTTAGATAAAGAACATTCTTCAAGGCAAGTCTTTCTGCCTGTTTATCGCACAATCACATGTATGGCGTGAGAGCGTTGATTACAATTGAGATACTCGAATTTATCCTTTTTATCCGAATACAGAGCCATTCTGATTGATTACAATTGTATGAATGAAATCCTTTTATCTTACAAAGTAAAAAATAGGGACATTAATTATAGTTTTTTGTATTATTTCCTTTACCAATGGGAGTTATAATGATGTACTTCTCCTTTAGATAAAGAACATTCTGGCATCTGGGGTTGCTGATCCTCATGGCACTTGGAAAAGCTGCAAGCTTGACATAAGCAACTGTACCCTTCTTCAACTCAAAACCATAAAAGGTAAATAGAAGTAAACCTTAATGGAACAGCTAGAATAGCCGTATAGGATTAGTTCTGGGAATAGATATATTCAGCCTTTGTATTTGAATTGTATAGTCCTTATCTCATATAACAACCTGATGATAAGGTTGGTTATACTGATGTATATTTAAAGAACACAAGAATGAATAAAACAACAATTCTGTTTTCTCCCTTTTATGGTATCAAAGCCATAAAACCTTTCGGTTTTCTTTACTCTGTTTCTGCTTCGTTTTCATTTTTCCTTTTTCTTCCCTTTTCATATTATGATGTCTTTATCTTCTAATATATCGAATGTCACTCATTCCTCATGGAAGAATCTGGTTTCCTTTAATGCCTCTCAGTTTCCGAAGAATCTGGTTTCCTTTAATGCCTCTCAGTTTCCTTTGAAACTTACGCAACAAAATTACCCAACATGGCGTGCTCAAATTGTCCCTGTTCTTCGTGGACATAACTTAATGGGATATGTTGACAGAACTCTCCCATGTCCTTCTATAGTTCTTCAGCAAGAAGGGAAAGATGTTGCAAATCCAGATTATGAATACTGGATGTGTCAAGATCAACTGGAGTTGGCTGCAATCATTGCTTCTACAAGTTTCTCAGCAATGCATATTGTCTCTTTTGCTCTAACCTCGGCTGATGCCTGGGATAAAATTCAGACTACTTGTGCAAATCGTTCTGCAACACGCATTCTTTCTCTTCGTGAAAAGCTTGCTAATTACAAGAGAGAATCTACATCTATAGCCGAGTATTTGCAGAATGTTAAACTCATTTCAGAGGATTTAGCTCTTTCTAAAAGCCCTGTCTCTGATGTGGATTTGGTAATTTATGTCTTGAATGGTGTGGGAACTGAATTTCGTGATATAGCTGCAGCTGTACGTGCGAGGGATTCTATTATTTCTTTTGAAGAGCTCCAAGATAAACTTCAGGCACATGAGCGTGCGAGGGATTCTATTATTTCTTTTGAAGAGCTCCAAGATAAACTTCAGGCACATGAGCTATATTTGAAGAGGGTTGATTCCTCATATAATCCCATGCCCATTACTGCTAACAACGTGAGGAAAGGATCACTTCACAGGCAGAATATTCGGTTTGATGGACAACGTGTGTCCACTGAAAATTCAAATTCTTCGGGCTACCGGTTTCTTCCCGATCAGACCTCTCGATTTCAGTCGGCGCGAAAGACATCTGGTGGTTCGAAAGTTTTTTGTCAGATATGTGAGAGGCCCGATCATAGTGCCAAACAGTGCTTTCGTGCTAAGGAATTCTTTAAAAATAATTTTCCACAGCCATCGAGAGCTAATCATATTGTTGCTACTGAATCTTCAAGCTGGATCTTGGATACGGGCGCCTCTCATCATATCACTAATGATCTACAAAATCTGTCCTTACATGCGCCGTACGAAGGCCTAGATGAGTTGCATCTTACTGATGGTACAGGCTTGCGAATTACTCATGTTGGCTCTCAAATTCTTTCATTTCCAATGAAATCTTGTTCGTTAAATAATGTTTTGTATGTTCCTCGTTCGAAAGAAAATCTAATTTCTGTTTCTAAGTTTTGTTTTGCAAATAAGGTTTCCATTGAGTTTTTCTTTGATTGTTTTGTTGTCAAGGACCTATTCACGGGGGAGATAGTCACAAAGGGGCAAATTAAGAACTCTCTCTATCGTCTTTGTTCGCTTTCCAAAGGTCGGTCAGCGTCTTCTGTTGCTGCAAATATTTGTGTTCATGATCCTTCGTCCATCTGGCATCAGCGTTTAGGTCATCCTTCTGCTAAAGTATGTCGTTATGTTTTATCTAAATTTCAGTTGTCTGAGTCATTTGCTGCAACTTTTGATTGTAATTCATGTCGTTGTAATAAGAGTCACAGACTCGCGTTTGGTATTTCGTCTCTTTCTAGTTCTCGACCTTTAGAGTTATTGTATTCCGATTTATAGGGGCCTGCTCCTATTCAATCGATTGATGGGGGGCCTGCTCCTATTCAATCGATTGATGGTTTCAAATATTATTTAATATTTGTCGATCACTATACTAAATACATTTGGTTTTATCCTATTAAGGCTAAATCTGATGTTGCTTCTATATTTCTAGTTTTTCAAAAATTGGTCGAAAATATGTTTCGGACTAAAATTGTATCTGTTTATACAGATGGGGGAGGGGAGTTTGTTGCTTTGCAGCCAATTTTTAGAAATAATGGGATTAATCATCTTCAAACACCACCTCACACTCCCCAGCATAATGGGACTGCTGAGCGACGTCATCGACATTTAGTTGAAACTGGTCTCAGTCTTCTTCAGTCTACCTCATTGCCCTCTAAATTCTGGTCCTATGCTTTTCAAGCAGCAGCTTATCTCATTAATCGTTTACCCACACCAATTCTTAATATGTCGTCTCCATTTTTTAGGTTGTTTCAAAAAGTTGTTTCAAAAAGACCCAAACTATACTAGGTTTAAGGTGTTTGGTTGTCTTTGTTATCCTTATCTTCGGCCCTATAACCATAATAAGTTTGAACAAAAATCAAAGCCTTGCATCTTTTTGGGGTATTCATCGAGTCAAAGTGCATTTTTGTGTTTTGATCCTAGTACGGAAAAGGTGTATGTTTCTCGTCATGTTGTATTTGTTGAAAATCAATTTCTAGGCCATACTTTGTCTAAGTCAGGTTTAGCTCCTTCAAGCTCTTGGTATGATTATTGCACTGATAATATTTTTAATTACCAAACGGTGCCGTTTCGACCTTCACATAAGAGTTCTTCTATGGACAATACGGTGTTGTCTCAAGTAAATGCCTCTTTACCTCCTTTTCAATTGCCGTTCTCCATAACTAGGGTTCCCAATCTGTCTTCATCTCCTGCGCATACCCCTTCTTTGTCTAATTCACAATCGGCCCAATCTTCGAATTCTCTAGTGTCTTCCCCTTCCTCTTCTTTTGCTGCTGAAGATAATCATTGTCTAATTCACAATCGGCCCAATCTTCGAATTCTCTAGTGTCTTCCCCTTCCTCTTCTTTTGCTGCTGAAGATAATCAGTCACCGTCCCTTTCTCAATCTGTCCAATCTCGAGAATCTCACAATTCTCAAGTGTCTTCTTCTTCATCTTCTACTAAGGTGTCTAGTTCTCAATCGAGTTCATTAATGTCTGAGTCTGGTTCCTCTACTGTTCCGATTCGAACACATCCTATGACTACAAGATCTCAAAACAATATTTTTAAACCAAAGATTCTTCATTCAGTAACGAAACATCCTCTTTCTGAATCTGTGGAGCCAACACGAGTTTCACAGGCACTTAAAATACCAGTTTGGCGTCAGGCTATGTCTGTAGAGTTTGATGCTTTAATGGCCAATGGAACTTGGGTTCTCGTTCCACCTTGTACTGATAAGAATTTGGTGGGTTGTAAGTGGATTTTTTGGGTAAAGAGGAATGCAGATGGCACGATTGCTAAACACAAGGCACGTTTGGTTGCAAGAGGGTATAATCAACGGCCTGGTGTGAATTTTGACGATACTTTCAGTCCAGTTTTGAAGCCAGCCACAATTCGAATCATACTGACTCTTGCTGTTACAAATAAATGGAGCATTTGTCAACTCGATGTTAACAATGCGTTTCTCCATGGTCCTCTGCAAGAACATGTATATATGCAACAACCTCCTGGTTTTGTTGATTCTGATAAACCACATTATGTCTGTAAGCTTGTCAAAGCTCTGTACGGTCTTCGATAGGCTCCAAGAGCCTGGTATCAGGCGTTGAGAAATTGTGCAGTTCAGTTTGGGTTTGAACAGTCAAAGAGTGATCACTCGCTCTTTATTTATCGTAAGGATACCTTGGTTTGTTTTTTCCTAGTATATGTTGATGATTTGCTGCTAATTGGAAATTGCAATAAATTGGTTCGGTTGTTCATTGAGGAGTTGGCTTCTAGGTTCTCTTTGAAGGACCCTCAGAAATTGAATTTGTTTTTGGGTATTGATGTACAAACAACACCAGCAGGATTATTTTTGACACAGCATCATTATGTTCGGAACTTGTTAATTGCTGCCCGTATGGAGGGTTCGAAACCAATCTCCACTCCATTTGCCACATACACTTCTCTCTCCAAGAATGACTCTCCTGCTTCGGAAGTAAATGTAACTGAATATCGCAAGCTTGTCAGGGCCTTGCAGTATCTAACCTGGACTAGGCCAGATATTTGTTTTTCTGTGAACAAGTTGTCTCAATTTATGCAAATTCCAGTTGCTGCGCATTGGGATGCTCTGAAGCGACTGATGCGTTATCTTAAATCAACAATAGATTATGGTGTTATGATTACTCCTCAGTCTTCACTTGTGTTTCATGCATTTTCTGACGCAGATTGGGCAGGGGATCCCTCGGATCGAATGTCTACTATAGGTTACATGTTGTATCTTGGTAATATTCGTATATCTTGGACCTCTCGTAAACAGAAATCAGTAGCACGGTCCTCCACAGAGGCAGAATATCGTGCTGTAGCATCTACGGCATCTGAAGTTATGTGGGTGAGTTCTTTATTATCTGAACTTGGTGTCACAAATTCTTTAAATGTGCCGGTCATTTATTATGATAATGTTTCCACAACATATGCATGTCAAAATCCGGTATATCATTCACGAATGAAGCATATTGAAATTGATCTTCATTTTGTAAGAGATCTTGTTCAAAAGAAAAAGCTGCGCATCAGTCATGTTTCGTCCAAAGATCAACATGCTGATCTACTAACAAAGCCACTGCCAAAATCGGTTTTTATTGCAAACAGGTTCAAGATTGGAGTACGCAATGGTACCTCCATCTTGCGGGGGAGTAATGGAACAGCTGAAATAGCTGTACAGGATTAGTTCTGGGAATAGATATATTCAGTCTTTGTATTTGAATTGTATAGTCCTTATCTCATGTAACAACCTGATGATAAGGTTGGATATACTGATGTATATTTAAAGAACACAAGAATGAATAAAACAACAATTCTGTTTTCTCCCTTTTAAACCTTACTTGCATCTTGAGCAATTCTTGAATTTAATAATTATCTTTGGTTTATCTTTAGATTTTAGGTTGCAGTTCTTGAATGCATTGTATACATCAGTCGGCTCTTCTTCCCGAGGATTGTTTATAGACTCTTGCTACGTTCATTGCCAAACTGAATTGCAGGAGACATGGTTCATGGCTGACTCTCCAGTTCTCGACAAAACAGTAAGAAACTACTAATTTTCTCCTTTCTTATGATTAACAATTTGTGTTCTTTATTTTCTTTCTCATTTATTATTAATTATTCTTAAGCTTAGAGAAAACTATCTGTTTTTCATTTCAAAATACATTTCATACAGAAAATTGCAAAGGCAGTTGGAGATTGGTTTTATGACAGGACTCCATTCCAGAAGATAGATTGTGCCTACCCTTGCAATCCGACCTGCCCCAAAAATGGTTCAAACCCTCAAGATCTCCCAGAAGTATAGATTTAATGCTTCAATTTCATTTTTATTACCAAAAATTATAGTAGTAATTAGCTTAATAAAAACAAAAAAAAAAAAACTAAATAAGCAAATGCCACCACTGCGCGAAACTTGTGTACTGGGTGTTCGCATCACTGTTTATGTTTCAATTATTACCCATAAATAAAATCTATTTTTAGCAGAATTGAAGCATATGATAGGGGATGTTAAAGTGACAAAGTCTATAGATTAAAATAAGCCCTAAACTTTGCTAATGAACAAAGAGTAAGGGTGAGCATTCCACCAATAATTTTGTCGGTTTGAGTAAAATTTTTAACCGAAATAAATTAATCAAATTTTTTTTGATTTAACCGATTTTATAAACCATAGGAATCGTACTATAACTTTTCCTTTTCTTTAGCTAAAATTAGGATGCAACTGACTCTAAATTTTAAAATTAAAATACAATTAATAGTATAAAACATTGAAAAACTAAATTAATGTTGACAGTTAATTAAGCCAATTACATTCTCTCTCCTATCTCAAAATATATAACATAAACTCATAATTAGAGAAAAAAAACTTCATTTTTACTGCAAATATTTCATTTGGAAAAATAAAACTCAAGATCATATATTAAAAAAAATAAAGTAAACAATTTTTAACATATTTTTCTTCTTCTTCATCCCACAAATTATGTGCTTTCTAATTTACTTGTAAATTGAGTTAAGCAATACTCATGTCTATAGACGTGGTGCAATGTAAAAGAAAGTGGATTTTGAATCGTTACTGACAGCTTATTTCGCAAATGTACGAATTCGCTGTAAGTAATATAGAGTGAGTAGAGTATCGTATCCACAGGGATTGTATACCAAGTACCAAAATTATATTATCCTATTATCCACAGGGATTGTATACCAATCACCAAAATATATCATATCCTATTATATTAAACGATAGCTATGAGGAAACTTGTTTATAGAAATTAAATTCAACAAGTAAGATAGAGGAAGTTAAGCGCCAATTATTGATTAAGAGAATCAGGAAGTAAAGACACTAAGGGTTTAATTTTCAGCTTAACCTTATCCATTATATTTCATTAGTCCATTGATAATTTAATTATTCAAATAGGAAACAACCCAAAAAATCACTAAACAAGACTCTCCCGAGTGTATTGTGGTAGCCATCTTTAACCCGGCTGAGCTAATCTAACCTATTTTCAAGTAGCGAATCAACATGGGAGAGTAAATCAATTAAGTGTTATGGTGGTTTTGTGAATTCATAACCGTAAAGTATTAACTTATGAAACCCCCATCGAGTCAAACCGCATAGCTTCCGCTGATCAAGTATTATTGACTCATGGCTTTGATTACACACCATTTTCATATCAAAAATCCTTCTCCGATAGGTGATAATGTGAAATAATAAATTAGGGGAAAATTCTGACCAGAAGCATTAAGTTTCAGTAATATAATCATAATTTGCAAGTAAAGAAAAATAAATCGTAATTACATAAAATTGAAAAATAGGATAAGCTACATCAAACCCTCAGGTCTAAGAAACTTATTACCAATCAGTACTAAACAAGAACTCAATGAATACTTGATAAATATATTCCATAAATCAATAAGCATAAATGAAAGAAAATCAAACAAGATTAAGAGTTAGAAATAAAAGACAGCTACAGATAAGATTGCGTGGATGACCTTCGCATTGAATTATTGCACAAACTCTTGCAATACTTAACTTAAAAGAAATTAAACTATGACAAGACTAGAGATGAGAGATGGAAGATGAGATGATGGAGTGGAGTATGTAGTGAACGTGTGTCTGGTCTTTTTGATCTCCCTTACTCAATGCTTTTTCTATAGCTCTTTGACGAGAGATTACCAAATTGTCTTTAATCATCAAGTCTTCTTTTGTAGGATTGATAAAGGCTCTCTTTTTGCTCATTTTCTTCAATTATGACTCAACCCATGTGATAGAATAATAGATCTTGGTTTGCTCATTTGAGGAACAGTTGTCTCAATATAGTCCATAAAATTAGTGAAAGTTATTGGCACTTGACTAAGTTTAGATTCTTTATGGCTTAGGCCACGGGACGTGCAGGCATGGGCATCTACGATGTAGCCGGACGTGCTATCAATGAATTTTACCTTTTTCTTGTCCTTTTTTCTTGCCAACCTCTACCATTTGCCCGTCGAAATATCAAGTGTGAGTTGTGTTGTCAAAGAAGCTTTTAAAAAACATATCAATGATACATCAATATTACATAAAAACTAATTAAATAAATTAAAAGCAATAGAAATTTTAATCAAAATCACAATAAAAAATACTATAAAAATAACACTTATCAGTTACAACAAATTGAAGACTTCCAGTTCCAGTCTTCCACTATGGTATTATTTATGTGATTAATCATTTGCATTGTAATGGCCTTTAAGAAAATTGTACCCAAGAGTGCAAGTAATAGTTTATTTATTTATTGAAATGAATTTATTTATTGGAAACCCAACGAATCAAAATAAGATTTTAGATACATGACTCATGTAATTTTTAACTCTGTCACTATGTAATGCCTTCTCTCTCTGTCACTATTCTAATAAATGATAAGATCTCTACTCTCCTCAGAAAATTTTGTCGCTTGGATATAGATTTATAGAAGATGTCAGTGTTGCAAGTATGTTCTTTAAATTTTTTCATTAATGGTAATGGGCGATATTATATTTAACTTGATTTGTTGAGATTGGGTGAATAGAGCTGTATCTTGTAAGCAAAAGAGCGTGTTTGAAGTTATTATTGAAGTTACTATTTCTGGTTCTGTTTACGTACTACAAAAACTTTATTAGGCGTGTTATAACTTTTTCTCTCCAAAATTTTACCTTTTAACATTGTTCTTTATATTGATGTATTTCAGTTCAGGTTTTTTCAACTTAACATTCTTCCGTTAGGATTGAATGTTTTTGGAAAAGCCTATTGGCTTGGGTTTAGTTTTGCTTAAGTTTTTTTAAGTTTTTTCCTAGTAATTTTAATTAATAAAGTTAAAATTTTGCTGATAAAAAAAAATTATTACAAAATCGATTACCACTTCTACAATATAATGGCTACTAACAATTGAATGGTAATAGAAATTTCAATCCCATTACCATTCAACTTACTAAACAGGCTGTTAGAATATTAGGTTAAGACTAGCTAATATTGCAATTGATTCGGTTAATAATTTTTAATCTTCTTTTCATGGGTAATACAAAAAAGAAAAAAAAAATCAAGTTATTAGATATTCCCAATAATTTTAAAATATTACGGTTATTATTACTGATTAATTGAATTCTTAGAATTCAGAGTCAAAGTATGTAGTCCAAAAATATTAGAGGTAACCAATTAAAATTAAGAAAGAGGAGATGAGAGTTGATTTCTCTTTCATTCAAGATAAACTATAAACAAACCAGCTGATATTACATGAAATGAAGATATGTATATATAGATGCTGCATTACTGAACATCATCCTTACACTCTTCACACATTCTCTATTTATTTTCCCCTTTTTATTTATTTATATTTTGGTGTTGGACATGATAAGAAACTTGCTAGGGGAACTACAAACAAGCTTCTCCTGTTAAAGCTTCTCCTGTTAATGCCATTTACGACTTTCCTTACACCCTGCATATTAAACAAAGATAGTCAAAATCCATCCATAATTTAATTACTTGATTATATATATATATATATAGATATAGATATGTAAAACCAAGTGAAGTGGAGTTACCAGCTAAATCCAACTTGGAGTGATGGAGCATCAGGATCAGCAATGATGGCATAAGCATCGTCAGAAATCTGAAAAGTTGTCTCGCAGTTTGGGCAGTAATCAGCTACTCTTACATCGACAGAGGTGTGCCTTTTGCAAGGTTTGCTTGCGTCGGTGGACTTGATGCACCTCACTCTCAGAGTCTGTTTACATCTATCCCCATTCTCCCATAAGGCGTCATTTACAGTAGCCACCAGCGTAGTCGGCAGTGGATCATCTCCGTAACACTGGTTGGCTATTCCAAAACAGAGGAACACCATCATATATTAATTACAGAATAGTTTTGGTATCTAATAATTTTTCCATATAAATATATAGATCTGTATATACTTACGAGTGTAAGGTGGATCATAGACAGAAAGTGTAAGGTGGATCATAGACAGAAACAGTTCCTAGAGCACCGCCACTGCGAATACCGGAAGCACCCCCCTCGCCGTTGGCACCACCCTCTTCAGCACCATTGTCATCGTTCACTCGAATGGCAAATGCAACTGAGGCAAGGTATCCCACCATGCACAACATAAGCAATACTTTCATTGCCTTTCCCATCATTTTAGTTTTGGTTGCTCTCTATGATTTAATGGACACTTTAATGTGATTGAAAGCTAAACACATTACCTCCCTATTTATAGAGATTCAGCAACGCCATAAATATGCATGGGGTAATAATATAGGGCTTAAAGCACCCACAAAATTAAATAATCATTACAATGTACATGTTGGTAGTCTTTGATTTGTTGCAATTTGTAAATGATCAACAATGACTTAAATTTGCACAATAAAAAAAAAAAAAAGGTAAGTTGCACATCTGTCCAAATAAAATAAAATAAATCAAAAAAATAAAACAATTAATAATCACGTAAATTTATAAGGTATAAATAACAACAATGTCATTTTCACAACTATAACTATCGTATACAATTTTTTTGTCATGATATTCATGATAGAGTGTTATACCATACCCCGCTTTACATCAATTTGTTTTTAATTTTTGCTTCAAAAGAAAAATCTTTTTTTCTAATTTTCATTTTTTTGTGATTTTTTTTCTAATTTTCTTTTATAATATATGTACTTATGAAAAAAGAGAGTGTCAGACTCTTGGAACATTTGTTTCAAAAAAAATTTTCATCTTTTTTATTTTTTTCTAGTAAAAAGATATTTATATTTTCATTTGTCTTAATTCACAAATGTTTTTCATAAATAAAACTTCTGATGTTATAAATTGTTCACTAAATTTAAGTATGTTGAGCTATTTCTTGTGAATGAAAGATATAGTAAATATTTAGTTTTTGTAAGACATTCTTACATATAGAGTGAGATTTTGATATAAAACTAATTTTTCAATTAGGTGGCATCCAACAAAATAAAGTTGAATCACTAAATAAAAATAAAAATAGAGAATTTAAACGTGTTAACTTTAACATAAAGATTATATTAAAAAAAATTAAGTACAAAAATAATTTTTCAACCATGTGTCATCCAACTAAGCAAGCCACTAAACAAAAGTGAAATCCACTAGAAATTTAAATTGATTGACCAAACTGAAAATTAAAATAAAAAACATTAAAAATTATTTTTGATTTGAAACCCAAAAAAAAAAAAGAGGTGGAGGAAGATCATTTTTGTTGCTAATCTGCCACCATCTGCATTGTGAAAGTGCTGAATACAATAACATCCACCTCCATCCTTTCTCCACAAAAGAAAGATCTTTTGTTGATTTGCTGATAGGTTATACACAGAACATACCAAGATTCTAAAAGAAGCAAATTGTTAAACCATAAAGCATCATGCTCGCATATTTTTCATATACAATTCTGCATATTCTTGTTGTAAGAGAACCATTTGACTCGTCATGCGTTTGCTTATAATATTCCCAAGGGACATCTTTGAACCAATTAGATCATGCTCGCATATTTTTCATATACAATTCTGCATATTCTTGTTGTAAGAGAACCATTTGACTCGTCATGCGTTTGCTTATAATATTCCCAAGGGACATCTTTGAACCAATTAGCAATTTCTGTTATTATTGTACATGCAAATGTACAAGTGGTTGTTTAATGGAAACTACTAATATAAAATTGCAAACTATCAAAGCAAGAGATATGGATAGATGAAAAAAGGATTTTAGTTAACGACTGCTTACTAATATCTCTGTTCCATAATATTTGTCACATTTGAGAAAATAGTTTGTTCCAAATTACTTATCACATTTGTGATTTCAAGGAGTTTGTATATGACCAATAATTATTACTTCAGTTTAATGGTTTTAGTTGAGAATTAATATTAAATTAAGGGTAATATAGCCAATTTACTCAATAATTTATTATAACTTAGACACATTTAATAATTTTTTTAAGGCACGCGAAATTTTAAACGTGATAAGTATTATGTAACAAATTAGTAGTTAATTAGGTAAAAATATGATACAAAACAAGTGGGTGGTGCACTGCTTTTATGTCCACTTACAAAATTAATTCATCACCAGTCATTTACCACAGATTAGATACTCTCAATATGATATATTTGTGTCATCCCATTATATATGAATACATCATAATCATTAACAAAAATGTATTCCCTCTATCCACAAATATAAATGCTATAATTTTTTAGATTATGGTACAAAATTTCAATGATTTAACTAAATTATCATTTATCTCACATTATTAATAATTAATGTGTTTAATATACTCCATCTGTCCCATTATTTTGTCCTACTTTCTTTTTTCATCCGTTCCAAATCATTATCTTGTTTCCTATTTTTTTTTTTTAGAAATGAATTATATTTAAAAATTACTATTTTATCCATATTTAATGTGCTACTTTGTCGACAAATTATAATAGTCAAACTACTGTATTATCATTAATTAAATTATATAAGCAAAACTAACACATTAACCTTTAAAATTCTCCAATAAAATTCTATTGAATCAAATCTTTAATTAATTTCAAAAATAATGTATTATGAATCATTTAATTTTTTATGGACGTTAACATAAGGATGTATTAGGAAAAAATGAGGCAAAAATTATAATTTAATTAGCAATTTAATGTGATTGACAGCTAAAAACACACCCTCCCCATTTATAAAGAGTCAGCAACGCCATTGGGTAATAAAATAGGGCATAAAGTACCCACTTAGATGATGGAATCACAAAAAACATAGCATATTTACAGTCTCTTGCTTAATTGGATACCCACATAGATTTGCATTAATTGGAGTTTCTTGCTTAATCGCACAAATTGCTTAATTAGATAAGCATCCAATAAGGTACACAAAAATAGGACTTAATTAATGTATCCTCTAATAAGAATTTTTTTAAAAAAATCACCTTCAAAATTACATTTTTTCTTTTTTATTCATTGAAATGTCTAATGGATCGAAAGAACATTGTGAGATATACAACAGGAATAGTCATTCCATTTACTTACTAAATTGGTAAAAATTCTTATGGTAAAAAAATATTTCAAATCTGAAACTTTTTGTTTAACACATAAGTGACAAGACCAACTAAAACACACCGATTGACTTGATTACATTTTTCTTTAAAATCATTATATATAACATACAAATAATGGAATCACACAAGTATAGCATATTGAGAGTGCTTTCACCTAACAAGAAAGCACCCATTAGCTAAATTTCCTTTTCATCTATCCATGGAACAAATGTAATGAAACGGTTACAGTATCTCCCTTTGATATTTTGTAATTTTATATAAGACACCTTTTTCCATTAGGAAAACTAATATCCCTAAATTTTACTTGTTTCATTCTGCCATAGTTTCAATCACATGAATTCATTACCAATTGGTTCAAAGATGTTCCCTTGGAAATGTTAAAACCAACACACGACAAGTCAAATGGTCCTCTAACAACAAGAATGTGCAGAATTTTTTGTATGAAAAATAAGTGGTCATGGCTCTTAATATTTGACAGTTTGCTTCTTTTAGGTTAACCTTTTACTTACACATCTTGAATGTTCCTTGTATACCCGTCAGGAATTTGTAACAATTTTCAAGAAAATATCTATCTTTCGTTTGTGGAGACATGATGGAAGTAGATAGTATCATTATACATATCTATAGTGCCTTCCATAATGGCATGGAATCTATCCATTAATGAAATTCATAGTTCCATCCGAATAAGTTTGGATCTTTTAGGGCTTCTCTATCTAACTTTTATCCATCATTCATTCATATCACTATATATCTGTATAATCAAACATGATTAAGATACTTGTTTATTGAATTAATTTTTATAAAATATCAAATACGCCCTTGAATTAAAGGTTGTTTATTGGATTTTTTTTTTTTAATAAAAGACAACGAATACTCTCGAATTAAAGTCATGAATTTACTTTATTGATTTTGTCATAATATTACACTCACTTGGTGAATATTACATCTTTTTGAAAATTTATTAGGAATAGAATTAAGATTTTTATTGATTTTGTCATAATATTACACTCACTTGGTGAATATTACATCTTTTTGAAAATTTATTAGGAATAGAATTAAGATTGAAAAATAATTTTTATTTTGTCATAATTCATCATTGTTCGCAAATATTAAAATTAACCATATCATTATCTTAAGGAAAATCCTTATTTAATAAAATAATTAATTGTATAAATTAATTTACAGTAAATTTATTAATAAGAGTAGTTTAGTCTTTTTACAAATTCGCTATTATATCCCTTCTATTATTCTTATCAACCAAATACATGAATATAATTTGAATTGTTTCTCCATGCATACTAAACACAGTAATATATTTCATTCCTTACTTTATATTAAACATAGCATTAAAATTATATATAAAACTTTGGTTTTCAGCCAAATGCATAGATTCCTTAAAGTTTACGCAATTGGTTTTGTATAATATGAGTTTCAATATTCATTGACATAAATTCATGCAAGTCGTCCCTTTGAACCCATATTATTTGCTAAGTTTATATATTAAGTCTCGTTTTATACTCTTAGAATTATTTAAATTTTTTTTTTGCAGTTATATCTTGAAACATCAAGCATTCTCTAAGGCAAATTGAATATTTTCACCACCCAAATAATTTTTTTCCTCCGACCATTTTTTGGGTATAGCATTATGAGACGGAAACTAAAAGTAACGTGGCATTGCAAGAGTTGGAATCATGAAGTCCATCATTGCAAGAGTTGGAATCATGAAGTCCATATCGGTATGAAGTGAGACAAAAAAAAACCTATTTAACATTTGATAAATATAGGTCTATACATATATAAGTATGGAACAAACTGTTTTGATATCCATATTAGTAAGATTAATTAATAAGCCGTTGATGTTTTTTTTTTTAAATAATTAGTATTCTTTGAGTATGAGATTAGTCTTATTGAGTTTTTTGTTTTAACAACTGTAGTGTCACGGAATAATGCAATTTAAAATTCAAAGATAAGAAAGAGGGAGATGAAAATTGATTTATCTTTCACTCAAGATAAACTATAAACAAAATCATATGATATTACATGAAGATATGTATAGATGGATGCTACATTACTGAACATCATCCTTACACTCTTCACAAATTCTTTATTTATTTTTTCCCTTTTTATTTATTTATATTT